GGGGAGGGCCGAGGTGCGCGGGGCGCAGCGGCGGGGGCGGCCCCCGGCCCCGCGGACGGTGCTTCCCCGCCTCGCCCTCAAACCCAGGCTTAGCGAAACCAGCCCGCAGGCAAGGCGACACTTTCTTAAAACAGGCAAACGGATTAACTAAAGCACGAAAGAAAAAGCGAGGCTCTTAGCTTTTCAGCAAGTCTGCCCAGCCGAGGGGCGGTTTCAGCCCCCTCCTTTCCCGGGATGTGATCAAACGCCGCAAGGATGTGATCGATTAACTAAAGCACGAAAGAAAAAGCGAGGCTCTTAGCTTTTCAGCAAGTCTGCCCAGCCGAGGGGCGGTTTCAGCCCCCTCCTTTCCCGGGATGTGATCAAACGCCGCAAGGATGTGATCTCCTTGCTGTGGTTAATTTGCTTTTAAACTAACAAGCCCCGTGCTGCTTGCCGGGGCCTCTCTCTGTGCTTTGCTAGGTTTCCCTGTGGTCCCTCCTGGTGACTCTGGTGGTCCTGTTCATCCTGACCGGAACCATGCTGGGGCCAGACCTGATGGCACATATTCCTGCGTCTGTCTACGCCATAGCGGTGCTGATGCCTCTGGCCGGGTACGCCTTGGGCTACGGCTTAGCCACGGTCTTTGCCCTGCCGCCGCACTGCAGGAGGACAGTGTCCCTGGAAACGGGGTGCCAAAACGTGCAGCTGTGCACCGCCATCCTGAAGCTCACCTTCCCACCGCAGCTCATCGGCAGCATGTACATGTTCCCCTTGCTTTATGCGCTTTTTCAGTCGGCAGAAGCAGGACTCTTTGTGCTGGCATACAAGATGTACGGGAGAGATAGCTACAAGCAAGACGCTCTCGGTGAGGAGGAAGACACGGATATTTCCTACAAGAAACTGAAAGAAGAGGAAGTGGCCGATACTTCGTACGGCACAGTGACCACAGAGGAGCACAGCTCTGTTCAGATGGAGCTGGTGCAGACTACGCTTTAGGCAAGATGATGAGGCAGCACCCAGGGGCGCTTGACGTCAGCTCTGCTTGCGAGCGGCCTGCGGGCCGCGGTGCTGCTCAGCCACCATCGCTTTTTTAGCAGCTCCCATTGTACAATGTGCGCTTACTACTGTGCCAGTTGCATTTCCTCCGTAATACGCGTGAACCAAAGCAAAAAAAAGAACCTTTGCGACGCAGACCGCTAACTGCACACCACATCTTCATGCGAGGGGGCTCCTGTCAACCTAAGCGAGCCAGGGACGCGTACCAAGAAGGGGAGAAGCGCTCGCCGGCGCGAAGGCCCGGGCAGGCCGCGGTGCTCGCGTGCGCCCGCGCCCCCAGCCCCTGTCAAAACACCGCTCA